GGAAAATAAGTAATCCAGGCCATCTTATAGATGAATACAAATCAACGGGAAGAATTTGTCGATATTCAAGATGTTGAGACTGCTCTAGAATTTGCATTAAATGATGTCGATAAGAATATTTCTGACTTCTTTCTACTTGAACTCCTACGCAAAAGTCAGATTCGTATTTTATGGGAAGAATTAATGGCATTGATATAAATCATTCATTCTGCATGTGTTTTATTCACCAAATGTAATCAGTTATTATTTATTTCAGTAAATTATGATAACTAGTCGAATGCCGGCCTTCTGTGTATAAAGTACCCACGATTTCTGGCTCATCCCGGGCAAAGAATGCCATCATTACGGTATTTGGTTCCAGAATATCATCAAGATTTTCCTCGCCAATACGTAATTGATTATTACCGATAAAATGTACTTGAGCATCTGAAAAGTATTTAAGTTTTTACCGCAAATTAATGCATTTTATGCTCAAAATGATTGATTTATATACGAAGCTGAAATATTTTTAAACATATTTTAATCTAATGAGCAAATTTTGAATTAAATATTTTATTCTAACAGAAAAACATATTCTAAAATATCCTAAAAATATAATATTCTAAAAATGCATTCTAAAATATTCTAAAAATATTTTATTGCAATGGATAAGTTTTGAATTAAATATTTTATTTTAACGGAAAAACATATTTTCTTCTAATGGAAGAATTTTGATCTCGACGTCACTCCTTCCTGAAGTCTCGAGACTTTCGTTGACTCTAGAACATAAATTTATCAGCAGTAGTGCTGAATACAAATTTCAAAATATCCATATTCCAGTTGCACATGTTAATGCAATTGAAATGTGAAATTATTTTTGTTTTTCTATCTGAATAACTAAAGGAAAAAAAATTCATTAAAAGCCAAGCAAACTGATGAATTTTTTTAATTAGACTTTTAACTCTTCAAAAGAAATACAACTTGCAAACTGTACAGTTGAAAAAAAAAACTATCTTCTTTTGAAAATAATTTGAAAAAAATATTTCTTTTTGAAAACAGTTTTCTTTTTTAGCTGCACAGTTTGCGAGTTGTATTCTTTTTAAGGAATTAAATGTCTAATTGAAAAAACCATTGATTTGAATCCATTGACAAACTATGA